GGCGACGCGTCGCTCTGCCGCCTCCTCGTGCCGATGGCGTTACTCGTGCGGCCGCTGGGTCGGGTTTTTCCTTGGCGCTACGCTTGCGGGTCATCAGTTGCCGTCTGTGACTCTTGCAGATAAAGAGGCCTTACTTTCACGTAAAACCCCTGGAGAAAATTCAGCTGAAGAACTGGAAAGAGTACTTAGAGTTCGAGATCGAAAACGGCACTCACGAGCGCGTCGTGGTCCTCTTTGAGAGATGTGTTATTTCATGTGCCCTCTATGAGGACTTCTGGATTAAGGTAAGGGAAGTGCTTTACCACCTCGCTCCTGCCGGTGGCATACCTTGATCTAGTGACTAACCTTTTGTACTCTGTGGAATGTTGTTCATGTATAACTATATCTGTTGCATTAGGAGATGGTCTGCTTGCAACCAGATTTGACTGCTGCATATGCCAACCTCGTTGCCTCTCTACGTCCTTCCTTACAGAAACTAGTCTAGTGGTTCAATAAAGGTGCTGAATGGGTTTAAACAAAAGAATTTTATCGTTCTGTCATGTTTTTAAAGGCAAATGCAAGCTTTAAATGTGTCCGTCTCTGCTCTGTTTTCAACCATAGTATGCCAAATACATGGAGAATCATAGTATCGAAGGAGTGAGGCACGTCTACAGCAGGGCTTGCACAATACACCTGCCTAAGAAACCCATGGTTCACATGCTGTGGGCTGCCTTTGAGGAGCAGCAGGGTAAGAGCACCGTTAGTTTTTGGCTGGGAGGGATTCTGGTTTTGAGAGGCTGTCGGATGTCTCCAATCTTAAAGCATCTTCACCGGTGTTTTAGGCAACATCGATGAAGCCAGAAGAATCTTGAAAACGTTTGAAGAGTGTATTCTAGGGCTAGCCATGATTCGCTTGCGGAGAGTAAGCTTAGAGCGCAGACATGGGAACATGGAAGAAGCCGAACACCTGCTGGAAGATGCTGTTAGGAATGCCAAATCAATTAGCGAGTCGTCGTTTTATGCCATCAAGTTAGCTCGGCACCTCTTCAAAGTGCAGAAAAACCTTCCAAAGGCAAGAAAAGTGCTGTCAGAAGCCATAGAAATTGACAAAGTATGTGTTCCCTCTTTGCGGTGTTAAAAAACAAAAAAACAAAACCTGGTATTTTTCTGTCTTTCTGAACCAGTTTTTTATAAAAGATACGGCAACAGTGATGAGAGGAGTTGTGGCTGTAGGTAACGTCTCGTTACGGCATGGAGACACCAGTCCCTCTAACCTGACGTTGCCGTATGTGCC